TCCGGTACCTTGTCCGATAGCCAGGTTTCTGTGAGGCAGATCACGCAGCAGTCCCGCATCTCTCGCTGGAATGAGATCCGTGCCCGAAGCTCGCACAGCTCCAGAGACTCTCCAGAGACTGCACATTAGCCAGTAATAAACTGGGTAACGGTGGTCTGTAAGTGCGCCGTCTCAGTCGAACCAGAACGCCAGATCTTCTCCCTCTGCGTCGGCGTTTGCGGCCTCCAGGGCCAGAAAACAAAGGCGTCTCAGGTGAGATGAATGGGGGGTCTGCAAACGGAGCGTCCGTGTTGCAAAACTTGAACTCCGAAAAGTTATAAGAAAGACCGTCTTTTATGTCCACTAAGGTTTGTCAGTCGTACACGTGCTACTCGCGAAAAAATGAAGGAAAAGTAAAATTAAACACAGAAAAAAGCTGTTGCTTGGGGGAGCTCGCGACGAGGCTGCCATACTCGGCGCCAGCTTGTTTTAAGTTTAAATTTAATTTATTATTGGTGGTTAGCATTGTTGCCTTGCAGCAAGAAGGTCCTGAGTTCAACTCCACCACCTTACCGGGGCCTGTGTGTGTGGAGTTTGCATGTTCCCCCCCGTGTTTGTGTGGATTCTCTCCAGGTACTCCTGCTTTTCCCTATGCAGGGTTTCCGCCTTTGTGTTACAAGCTAAGTTGCCAAATGTTAAATGTTATAGTTGCACGCAGCACATTGCACAGATGAGACAGTTTATGTTGCTGCTACTGTTTGTATTCCTGTGCCACAGGAAAGATAATTAATCATGTTGAAAAAAAATATGGTAAAAATTGCAAAACAATACATTAAGTTCAACTTCCCACATTTATCTGTTTGGGTCACAGTATTGTTAACCAAACTTCATGCCATATAAACAGCCCTGTTATGCATACCGCAAAGGTAATATATTTTTGTCAGGCTGGGAAAGGACTTTCTTAAACGCGTGTAATGTCAGGAAATTTTTTGTGATGATGTGCAGCGCTCATTAGTTTTTCAGATAACGCATTCCCTGCGGGGATATGGCAGCCAGCTCCTGCATTGCTAAGTGAAGCGCTGACAGCTGTGACATCAAATCACTGTTTGAAAGCGTAACTCATCACTACAACATTGTGTCATCATAAGAAGGAGGCCATACCTGCTAGTGTCGGTGCAGCAAGCCTCACATCATGACAGCCAGCTGCACCAATCTGCAGCATGAAAGAGGTGGGTGGCAGGTGGGGGCTAAAGGATCTGTGGCACTGAGAGAGGGGGAGGTGAGAATGATGCACAGAGAATAGGAGGAGTAGATAATGTAGGAGGGCAAAGTGGAGTTTGAAGTACTGTATTACATGGGATGAGGGAAAGCACTGGCAAAAACAGAAGGAGTTAAAGCAGAGACGGCAAAAAAAGATGAGAAGAAAATCTGTCAGTTGTTTGAACAGATTGGCAATAATGTCATTTAATACATATTCTGTTTGAAATTCACAGTCTGTCCAAATTCACTCTCAGAAAGGGCGTCGCCTATCTGATGACATTCAAACGTTTTGTCCAATCAGCAGCTTAGCCATGGATTCAAAGGGACTCTGATATGACAGATGACAGCTAAAACTTATCCAAGCCATCCAGATGTGTCAGCTTACATCATATCTTTGTGATATCTGGCTTTTCGGGACCCGGAATGGAAGTGACAAGAGAGTGTTTTCTAAGGCAGTTCCTTGGTGATGCAGCTGTCACACTGACACAGAGAAAAAGAAAGTGATAAAGGCTGTGTACACAATGTACATGCCTGTATTTGCATCCTCCCGCTTGTAATTGACGTGGAACTTTCAAATTGAAATTGTTTGAATGAACTCAGCTGAGTGATTTTGACAAGTAGAATACCGTATGCTGCAAGCGCGGTCTGTCTTTTCTTTTTTTTTTTCCCTCCGTGTCACAGGAAAGCTTGAGGTAGACTTGTCTGAATGGTTACAAAGCAGCAGGGGGTCCCAGGCAATAGTATTCCCTCAGGTGCTTTGCAGACTTTATGCCAAGTTTGCGCAGGCCACACGCTGAGTTTGTTCAGCCATCTGAAATTGTCGCCACAATTTTGAAGTCAAGAATAAGATTCGGTTGGCTGATTGTTTTAAAAGACTTTCATTCTCAAGCATGCCAAATGTGGTAAAGGAAAAAGATTGTTCTCTGCAAATGAATGTGGAGTATCATCCAGATTCAACAGAACTACACAGGCAAACTCATTTGTATCCCTGCGCTACCGTATGGGTTTCTGCTGTAGCACAACAGTTTCACACATCTGCCTTTCTTGTTTGGTTCAAACACTCCTCTCGGTGCATATTGTAAGTTAATTTAGATATACTTGTATCCCCTGAAAAAGTTGTCTTTTCTCATACTCATCAGTGACGGTGAACTACTGTGCCTCGATGAATTTATTGTCTGTGTGCAGAGGTGCTAGTTTCTTCATTACATGGCTGATCCACGTGAATTCGAGCAGATTTGAAGCCGGGCTTACTTTCTTGCGGAGGATTTCACTGCAAATTGATGCGGTCCCTTTTACAACGTCCTCGCCTGGGTACTGACAGAGCCTCGATAAATCAAGGCAATCACAACGACATGGGGGAAGACATTGCCATAAATTCCACAGGGACCGTAAATGTACAGAATCTAAGCACATCTGTAGACGCTACCTGTCTCGCTCTGTTTCATGCTAATGGCACTTTCCTTTTGTTGTCTTTTTATCCATCTTCTTCTTGATTTCAAAGACTCCCATGTCAACATTTATCCTTTCATGATTTTAACAGTCGTGTCACTTTAATCGTTCACCGGCTTCCAGATGATTGTTCCACACTTCAAATGGAATTCAGAATTAGTAAAGTCATTGACAGAAAGAGGATTAGAGCAGAGGATATGCCATTATGCATTATTTGGTTGCGTCTCTCCACAAACACTTGTTGCACTTGTCAGTCGTGGGTCTTGGCCATTCCCATTTGAGGCTCCGGTTAGCGAGATGACAGCCTGTAGAGCATCATTCTGAGCATTTCAATAAACCTGAGGATCCCGCAGAGTTTATTTTGAAATTTTCACGCACATTGACAGCTTCTCTTGAAAATAAAATCGAAAAATGTTGCCATAATGGAACCATCCATGACATTTTGTATCCGTGATAGTTTTATGTACTGTGTACTATAGCATATACAGTTTGTATTGTATAAGATATATATTTAAACTGGAATTACAAATAATAATTTAATTACATTCATAAAACTAACTCTCTATAACCCGCAGCAACCATTCCTCTTCTCCTCTTTCTCCATATATACACATTTCTGTACCTGCTCATAGACTGTTATAAATGGCTGTATATTTAGGGCAGCACAGCATGCCTGAAATGGTGATGTGGAGTTGTGTTTTGCTGCTAAATTTATTTTCAAGATCCTGTACAGTTTTTCATTTGCCAGACATAGCATATAGACACCTTAGTTCTATTCTTTCTTGTTTATATCTCAGATGCATTTTTAGATTTAGATTTATCTATGTTGTTAGTTTGATGGTGAATCAATGCAATGAAATCTCCTGTTGATGTCCACTAACTGGTCTATGTCCGATGTATCTATTCTATTCTGTACATAAACTAAAACTGCATACATATAGAAATCTAGGTTAGACAAAACTGAGTAATGGAGCAGAACAGTTGGTTAGATAGTTTGAGTACAGCCACTGACTGGAATCACAGTTTACACATAGGTGTCTGTAGAGGTTTGAGAGCAATATCAGCCGTACAGTGGAAGCACACTAGTCACATGTTTATGTCTGACTCACCAACAACACCTGCTTGAAATCTACACATTGCGATCTTGGAGATGAGTATGCCTCTCAAGTGTCTGTGTGGGTCATCTCTGGCCTTGGCTATTCTACAACCTTTTTATAGGTTCTCACAGATCTTCCCACAGGTCAAGTATGTACAAACCTCAGCAAATGATCCAATTAGTAACAGCAAAGAAAGTGATGAAAATCTACCACGTCCTTCTCTGTAGGTTTCTAATAATAATAATAATAATAATAATAATAATAATAACTAAAACATACATTTCTTTGCTGGGTACTTATGTTGTACCTCAATTGCAATCCCTTCGGAAAATTGAACATTGATGATTCAAGTTAGTGTTAAGAGCAAAGATATCACGCATTATCTTCTTATAGCTATCTAGGCAACTTCATAGGATGTAGACTGTTAATACAAGGCTTTGCAGTATGCAAGAGTGGGTGACGTCACCCACTGGTGTGATGACTAAAGTTTTGTATTTTAGCTCTTGTGGTTCATGTGATTGTCTTTGGACAAGACAACAGAGTTGTTGAGTTATCAGCTATCGGCCTCGAGGTTGCTGGTTAAGTGACATCAAACGCTGATGGATGTTTTATAGGAGCCTGAGCAGTCAGCGTGAATTACAAATATACGCAAACCACTTTTCACTCTTCATAACGGCTGGGTCTCGAGAGGATCCTGCAGAAAAAGCAATGTAGCTCTTTCACTTCTCCATTTTTTTAAATAAATTGCCCCTTTAGGTCGCAGAACTCCCCTGAGCAACATCCCTTTATGAAGATGACCCGTGCCGGCTGAAATTTTCCAGACAGTTTCAGCACCTTCAGTCTTCCACTGTGAATCACTACAGTCAGCATTTATCACAACGCCCCGCTGTGGGGCCAACTGCCAGTTACGTTTTTTACTCGGTGGTGGAAAAACCTCGGTGCTGCAATATTTAAATGGATGTTGAATGTGTCTTCCTTTCAGATGATATTTTTTCACTCATATCCACTCAAAATCTAAAGCTGGTCATGGTGTAATGTGTCTATCGACCAGCAGGTGGAGAAGTTATATGAACCGTTTGATCCTCAAGCCCCCACCCCTGTCCCTCCTCTGCCTCATGCTGCTCCCGATGTGAGAAGTTCCTGCATAAACTTCCACTCCACAGAGGGAGAACATATGTGGGAGATCTAACAGAGGCACACCACAAAGAACAGACAAAGAAACATTTGAGCTGGACCTATTTCCTATTCTTGGATTGTTTTCTCAAATCAGGGTCTTCATGTGTATGGATCAGTTTGTCAAAACATAGTGTGGATGTTTGATTGTGGAGTGTAAATGTAACTGCTGTAGACATGGATACATCATTTACTGTGAGACCTCTTGTCCTTGCCCTTCTGCTCTCCCTTCATCTGCACTTACACCTTTTTGTTTGGGCTGCTATGGACTCCTGCTATGATGAGGAGGGTGTGCCAAGCAGCTGTATGCCCAAGTTTGAGAATATTGCCTTCAGTCGCACGGTGGTGGCTTCCAATGTGTGTGGTTCTCCACCTGAGGACTACTGCATGCAGACAGGGTCAACTCGTTCATGCCACATCTGTGATGCCTCAGATCCATACCTAAGCCACAATACCAGCCTCCTGACAGACTTCCACCGGAATGAGGAGCCCACATGGTGGCAAAGTCAGTCCATGTACTTTCGTATCCAATATCCCAACTCCGTGAACCTCACCCTTCACCTCGGTAAGAGCACACATCCTGAACACTTAATTTAAATATCTGTCTTTACGTTACTTTGGTCTAATAGCTATGTCTAGAGTTCACTTATAGTCTCTGTTATACTAATGTTGTGTATAAATATGTTTATAATACGGGACTGCATTTGTTGTTTTGATGATCTGAGCCTCTACAGACTGCAGATAGACTCCAGTCTGGTGTGAATCTCACAGAAATACAGTACATGTTAGGGGTTTTTTTTTTTTGCACACTGAAATTTGATACCATCAGCTTTTTAGGTTTCTGGACACCCATATCTTCATGCATTATTCTGTGTATTGTGAGGCCTTTGATGGAGAAATCTTTAATCCAACACAGATGTGCTGCAGAACACATGATTTTTGTTAGGCCGCCTTGACTCTGAGGTTAACACTTTGGCCCAGACATAGCTTAGACTTCTGGTATTTCAGTGAGGACACTCACAAGAGCGTGTCTGAGAATTTGGTGGGATTTTACATGAAGATAACCAGTTGCATCTGACATGCATAAACAGGCACCAAGTAACGGTCTTCAGGCTCACAGTATCGTTAATTTAGCCCACATGCTGTCATGGAGTATGAACCCATTCAATTCTGGCTCCCACTCAACTTATTTTAAGAATATGATTTGGCCCAGAATCAAACTTTGATAGCACCACATCACGGAGCCTTCATAGATAGCATTAAAAACAAATCAGACTGTTATCTAACCTTTTTTTTTAAACTTGACATCCACACTTTCACATGGTGTCATTACAAATTAGCATTAATCTTCTGCTACAGGTTAAATTCACAGTTTTGCAGATATAGAACTGACTATGAATGAAACTGAAGCCATCATGTGTTTTTTAGAGAAACTGTAGGCAATAAGTAGCTTATAATAATAAGAATAACAAGAAGAGGGACACGGGAAGTTAGCGAGGCATTTACATGAATCATATTTGGAAGGCAATAGATATTTGTCAGGAAGGTAAATTAATTTGCATTACCTGGGACTTTTTCTGCAAATCAGACACACAAGTTAAATCATTTTTTTTTTTGTTTTGTTTTTGTTTTAAATTGCCTTCTTTGTGTCCTCTTTCCCCCTGAAAAAATGCCTCTGACGCACATTTTGTGCACTGTGAACACATTTGACATTTCTCACTCCAGCCATTAACATCATTATCCCATTACCATGCTGTGCAAAACTGCTGAAATAAGCAGCACAGCACATTTGGCACTATAACTGAATTAAAATGTGGCGATTACTGTTAAAACGCATTAATACAAATCTTTTTATGCAATTATTTTCCCCGTTCCATTTATTTTTTTGAGCTGGGCTTGTGTGCCTTTCTGCAATTAAAGGTCTCTTATCACCAAGATGGTTCATATATGTATTTGACATACCCGGGAAAAAATATTTAGCTTATTTCTTATAACGTCGATTTTAACACTGATGTAATTTTAATTACTTTTTATGCAGAGCATTATATTAAGCACATTTGATTCAAAGTCTGAACAGAGAAATTTCCCGGTCTCCCCTCTTTTGGCTTTATTCTGCCTGCAAAAAATACAGAAACAGTCCAAACACACAAAATTGTTTTTTCCCAAATGAAGAGAAGTCAGCAGTGTCTTCTTCCTATATTATGCCATAGGCAGGTTGTTAACAAGACAGCACACCCACAACAAATCAGATCAGCCTACACAGCTAACAATAGTCCTGAAAATGACAATGGTCCTGAATGCTAAAATGAGATCTGTCTGTATTCCAGTTAAGCTATACCTAGCAACTGAAACTCATACTTCACAAAGTCAACTTTAGGAAAAGTTGATACTTTTTAGATGCTAAAAGTAGGGAAAAAAACAATTGTTTTTTTTTTCACTTCTTTGTTGATTTTTTTTTTAATTATGTGCTGATGTTGACAAAAGTGCCATTTTGGGGTTAAAAGCAAGTGTAAATGATTATTTTTGCAGTTCCACTCAGTTCACTCAAATTAAATGAGAACTATCTCACAAAAACACTCTAATTACATTGTTGCCAATTTCAGTAGAATGGCATTGCTAGAAATCTCCTCTGGGTTTTATTTTTATAAAACAAACTTCATTCAAAGAAGCAAATGGTGGAATTTATTCAAATGCCTCTTTTGTTCCAACAAAATGACAAGCAAGTGCTTTTTGCTTTTTTCTGTTATGTCCGACATTGGGTTTGTAGATTTTAATTTCTCTGTTTATTAATAACAATGCAAAAGATAAATAAGTCTCCAATAACACCAGAAAAAGTTGCCAGATTTGTTGCTGGTCGCTTTTTAGAAAAAAAGTCGCTAAGGGGGTCTGAAAACTCACTAAATATTGCGACAAAGTCGCTAAGTTGGCAACACTGCATGTACAGTGGCCCTGAGAGGCCAAACGGACTGCAACTTAAGAAAACACAAGCAATACGAAAAACGCTGCAAAAGCACACAAAACACAACAGACGTAAGAAAAACGACAACGGAAATAGGAAAAAACAAAAAGGAAATAGGAAAAACTGAAACTGATTTTCAAAAGCATAAGGGAAGTGTTTCTGAGGAGACAATAACCTGATGGACCAGTTGCAGGAACCAAAATATGCTAAGAATTGCACTGGGCGACACTTAAAAGAACTGGAGGTTCTATCGGTTTTGTGAGGAAAGAAAAGATGAAAGCGTGTTAGCCTAACTTTTATCCTAAAAATACGTCATCAGTATTATATGAATCATGATAAATCATGCCTACCATGTTTGGGGTTCCTGCAACTGGTCCGTCGGGTTATTGTCTCCCCAGAAACACTTCCCTTGTGTTTTTTCCTATTTCCGTTGTCGTTTTTCCCATTTCTGTTTTGTTTTGTGTGCTTTTGCAGCGTTTTTCTTATTGCTGGTGTTTTCTTAAGTTGCACTCCGTTTGGCCTCTCGTAGACATGCTCTGTTTTGTGTTAAACATGTAATTTGATTGTTGCAAATGTTAACAAATCAGTTTTCATGTTTGATTTAAATATTCTAAATATTCTTCTCAATAACCTTGAGAGACGTATTCCCAGAAATATGTTTACATAACAGAGTTAGTTCACTCTGACACAATACCTTATTAAAACATTCCCTAAGCCCTCTCCTTCTGGTTTTTTTGCCCTACTATTTTATAATGTATTGCTTTAATGTACAGCTACTGGAAGGCTATCTATATTATCAATAAACAAATAGAATAAATACAGAGGTTGAGCAGCAGATCAAATATTTTATAATGGAGATAGCTTGACTGCATTCTCAGTTTGGGGTTACAAGTTTATTGGAGAAGTGCCTGCCAGTGTCCACTTGCCTGCCCTAGCCTGCCTGGGAGTGAGGGCTTTGGTTCACTTGGTAAAAAGAGGAATGCATGGATTTTTTTCTGAACTTGAGTAAAATCTATCCAACTATATTCTCAGTGTGTATAGTCTGTAACATGTATCTATAGTATCTTTGTAGCAGGGGTTTATTTGGGCTGATAGCATTCAGGGAAGGCTTTTACTTGTTCACACATACATTTTCTTTATCCCCCAATCTTCCCCTACCTATGCAGTAGAGGGAAGATGAGTCCTCCCTGTCAGAAAGATGTGTTTCAAAGAAAAAAGAGACAAGGACAAAAATGATGAGAGAAGTTGAAAATGTCAGCGCACAGATGAGCGGTTACATCACGTGCTCCGAAAACAGGAAGTACCTCAATCAAATGGAGAGTATTGATTTCCAATAGCAAGCAGATGTCTGACTGTGCTTTGAGGCTTTGTTGTTTATATTTTCTGGCTAGTTCTTTTTCTGGAAAAAGGTGGCAGTGCTCCAGCTGCTGCAAAGGTATTTTCTTTGTTATTGGAGAGTTTGTTATTCTTCTAACTATTCCAGCACCTACAAGTCTGTCTCCCTGAGACTGAACTGACCTTTGCTCCCACTGCCCTATCTGCCAACTTTGTTTTCCTATACCCGGCGGCTTTGATGCTTCCATCCTGACACCGTATTCCTAAGTGAATGATGTCTAAGTTTTCACATCACACACTTTTATGTAACTGAATATCCCTAAATTTTGTATGCGTGGCATACTTTTGGTTCACACGAAAACTGTGTGATCCATCTGGGTAGTTGGCGGGGGGTTCTTTAGACATCACTGTTTCCCTTTGCCTCTCCAAACAAAACAAGCGCTCTCTGAAGGGAATGCAGGCAAATGCGGCGATGATAAACACAGCAGTAGGACGCAGGGACACACACTGCAGCCAGGTCAGAGCGGGTCTGTGGAAGAGTTAAGAGGAAAGGGGGAGTCGGGCTGCTTCAAGGGGAGTAAACAAAACATAATGAGGAAGAAGGGGTGGAAAAGAAAAAAAATGCCAGGCAGTTTGCTGGTAAGGAATTGGGGTCAGGTTTTTTCCCACAAAGACTGGATGAGCCACACAAACACACACACACACACACACACACACACACACACACACACACACACACACACA